AAGTTTGTCATTTGGTTTGGAACAATTTTTGAGAATCAAGTGGTCATGTAAATAAGGAAGCAAACAGGTGTAAAACGACAAGAGAGCAATTGACAAAATAACTACAAACTTTGTTCCAATGGCTATTGCAGTGTAATAAATAAAATGACAATTAACCAAAATCACCTTTATTTTAGTCTTCAATGTCCTTCCCCCCCAAGATAAACACGATTAACTTAAAAATGGCATTTACAGTGCCTCTCAAAGCATTTCCCTTCAATGAGAAACTTAGCCTCACAAAATCCAGACACTGAAAAGCATTATATTTTGTTGTCATTATAAGATAAAACAGAATCTAGCATAAGTCAAAGGAAATCATTCATAATTCAGGTCCTTCTCCTCCACGAACCAGCATTGTTATATGATTTCCATTTAGCAAAATCTTGTATAATTTAGTAATCCACAGAGAGCTCTGGGTCACTGCCCAGGTGAGGCCCTCTCCTCCCTCAGGCTAGAGGGAGGGAAAGGGGGGGGTGGCAGTCACCCCCCAATTGCTCCAGTGCGTCTTCCTCTGTAGGCCAGCCATGAAGTGAAGATTGGGCTGCCTCCCACCTCCCCTTCCTCCCTGATTTCCCCTCTCTGCAGCACCCTCCCCTCCCACAGGTCAGGGCATGTAGGAGGGGAGGGATATGTAGGAACAGGACAGGGACAGAGGAGGGCACCCACAGTGAGTCCTCAGGCCTCCAGGCTTATTTCCTAAGACCCATAATAGTCCACAAGTTTAGGCCTCCATTATTTCCAGACCAAGCTACTTTGGATTTTCTCATGGCTCTCTGGCCTCCAGTCTGTCTCCACTACAGCCCATGTTCTGGGCTAATGCCTAAGGAATCTCCTGAAGTTCATGCCACATACCTACTCAAAAGTCTTTAATGACCACCCATTATCCATCGGATAAAGTGCAAACTCCTTGGCCATGTGTTCAAGGCCCTTCATCTTTCAGACCTCATCTCTGGCCTCTGGGAATTGTTCCCTGCTTGCTGTGGGGTTATATCCGTATTCATGCTATTTGTCAGGGGTGAGCTTCCCTCTCCGCTGTATTCCACATCAGGTGTTGCCTCCTCCCTGGAGTGAATCCAACGTTTTCACTATCACTCCTCCCTTGGTTAGTCACCTCACCTTTGTGGTTCCGCAATACATTGTTTACATCTTCATCTTTTCATTATTACATTCCACTGATACTTTTAAAAATTAATTAATTTATTGTCTAAAGTTTTTCATATGTCTCCTTTTTCCCCAACTGACCCCCCGCCCCCAGTCCCCCAAGCCATTCCCACCCCAGGCAAGCTCCCACCACCCCAGTGTCTGTGTCCATTAGTTATGCTAATATGCATGCATACAAGTACTTTGGTTGCTCTCTAAACCCTCCCCCCCTGCCATTTGTCTCTGGATCTATTCTTGTTCATCAAATTATGTTGATCATTATATCCCACATATGAGTGAGATCATAGGATATTTATCTTTCTCTGACTAGCTTATTTCGCTTAGCATATGCTCTCCAGTTCCATCCATGCTGTTGCAAATAGTAAAAGTTCCTTCTTTTTTTATAGTGGCATAGTATTCCATTGTGTAGATGTGCTACAGTTTTTAAAAAAAATATGGAACTCTTCACGAATTTTCGTGTCATCCTTGTGCAGGGGCCATGCTAATCTTCTCTGTATCATTCCAATTTTAATATATATGCTGCCAAAGCGAGCACCCACTGCTACTTATTGAGTGTCTGCCATTTTGCAAGTTTTGGGGAGATAGTGGTAAGCAAAATTGCCTGACCCTGGCCACATGACCTTCATGGTCTAGCATTTGTCACACTCTGTTGTAATTTTCTGTTTAAATCTATTGCTCCTACTGGTCAATTACCATTTTGTGAGCAAGAGTCACCGTTTATTTCGTTTATTTATCTCTGTATCCCAACTTATTTAGCACAGATCTTAACACTTGCTAAGTGCTCCAGTTTGGGAAGTTGAATGAGTCAATTTGCCTGTTCAAAGCTGGCCCCTGGGAGCTTTGTTTACCCTCAGTGGGGAGGGAGGCAGGAGATGGGGACTGGAACTTCAACACTGAGCAAAACAGACCTGGTGCCTGCTCTTCCAGGCAGGGTTGTCAGATAAAGTCTCCCAGTTAAATGTGAATTTCTGAGAAGCAGCAAATAATTATTTTTTGTTTAAGTATGTCTCAAACAGGGGACATACTTGAAGCATCCATCTTATATAAAAACTGCTGTTTGAAATTTTAACCCTGCTATTTCTGGCTTCTGTAAATGCTTGCTGGCTTAAATTATAAGGAAAATAAGACTACTCCCATTTCAGAGAGGCCATTAAACCTTCTCCAGATGAAGTTATCAGTGCTGGCATCAGGCCAAGCCTTTGGTCGAGGTCTCAAAGCGCCAGCACATCGGGGCTCTTTAAGAACTTGCAAAGGGGACCGGAACAGAACCCCATGTTTGGGAGACAAAGAAGGTAAAATGGTATAAATACAGAAAACTTCCTGTGTGATTTCGCCCAGAATTTGAGAGACATTTTCCTCTGGGCCCACGCGTAATAATAAATGTAACTCCATCTCTATAAGCGTTGCTTGGTTCTTCTCCAGTTTTTCTGTAACATACTTATATTAAAAGGTTGTTTATTGTTTATCTGAATTTCACATTTAACTGGGTGTTCTGTGTTTTGTTTGCTAAATAAGGTAATCCTACCCCTAGCTCCAGATCAACCTCCACCCTCTGCCATCTGTTCTTCCAAGAGCTTAGCTTCCACCTGTGTGCTCACTCCCCACCTGTGTAGAAGAAAGATGTACCAAAGAGGTGTCCAAGGGCCACACCTGTAGTGCTCTTCTGAGAAGAGAGATCACAGTGGTTTTTGCACACAAATTTCAGACTTTGGATTAGATGACCTTGTTACTCTGGCTAGGTGTCCGATAGGCCCAGTGGCTCAGCCTCCCCCGTTACCTGAGGTGGACAGTCTTGGTGCACCCCTTTGTGGGCTTTGTGCACAGTCTTGTTGTAGTTAAGCCTTGATTGTTGTTGGTATCAGTGGGAGGAATTGACCTCCAGGCCAATTGGCTGTGAGAATCAGCTGTGTCTATGGTGGGAGAACTTCTGTGCTGGAGACACCCTTCTGGGCAAGACTTGCTTCAGTGGGGCTTTGGTGCTCACTGAGTCTGCCCCCGGAGTGTGTGCCTTATGGATCTGAAGAGTTGTAATCTGGATGGTCCCACTCTGACCACTGGGTACACTGGCTCTTGGGTCTCTAAGGAGGTGCTAATTTAGCCTCTGCCTGAGGCTACCCAGAAGGAGCTATGGAGAGATCTGCAGATTCCTCTTCTTTGTTTGGGATTTGGAGGTGCCCAGATGAGGCCCAGCTGTGAAGCAATGCAAGCTGTTGTGGGGCCTTGGGACTTCTTTTGGATGGTCTGGGTATCTCTGATCCAGCTGCAGTTTGTTAGGTAATTTTAGATTGCAAAGGGCCAGGTCATTCATATGCAAAAGCCTCTGCACACAGCTTGGGTGGGGGGAGGTCTCAGGGAATCACCAGGGTGGAGCAAACAGCTATGGCTGATCCTCAGTCCTGCCCTAAGAGGTCCTGGGTCTCAGTGCTCCACGGTAATCGCTGCAAGCAACTCCAAGAGAAAGACGCCCTCGAGTTCTGCCCATTGCCAGACAGTCCAGTTTCTCCCCATATGAGTCTGGGTCCCCAGAGACTAGCCCGGAACCGGAGTGAGGGCCATTGGGAGCTTGTGTCTCCCTCCCAATTTAAAAAGACAACCACATCCTCAGTTGCCAGCCCTTTCTGCGTGCGCCTCTGTACCTCTGCACTTTACCTCCGCACCTCCTCTGAGTCTCAGTGTGCTTTTCTCTTTCCTTCTAGTTGTAGAATTTCCACTCAGCCAGCCTTCCTGTGGTTCTGGATGATGTTCGTTCTGTCTTTTAGTTATATTTTTGAAGTATTTGTGCGAGGCAGCAATTTCAGGTGTTTACCTATGCCACCATCTTGGTTTCTCTCCTGATCTTGCATTTCTTAAAGTTTTGGTGCTCTTTTATAATGAGCAGAACTATTTGTGTCTGTTAAAATGTTTATTGTGAATTGAAAACTTTGTTAATATACTCTTCTTTGTCTCACTTAATGTGTTTGTATTAATAATAAATGTTATCTGATAGTAAGACCAATAGTTTGCTTTCTAAAATTTGCATAAGTTCTTTTGCCATTCTTTGACTTTCAATCTTTCTGAGTTACTTTTCTTTTCTTTTTTTAATCTTCATCCGAGGATAGTTTTTCCATTGATATTCAGAGAGAGTGGAAGGGAGCGGGAGACACAGAGAGAGAAACATCGATGTGAAAGAGACACATCAATTGGTTGCGTTCCATTTGTGCCCCACTGGGGTCGAGGATTGAGCCTGCAACTGACTGGACTCAAACCTGTGACCCTCAGTCCACCAGCTGACGCTCTTACCACTGAGTCAAGCAAATTAGGGCCCGAGTTACTTTTCTATTGAATTTTGTGCAATTCCTACGAACACAATACCACCATTAAAATCAGAAAATTAACATTTGATATACTATTGATACCTTATTACCATTTAAACCACAGGCCCCATGTGAATGTTGCCAGTTGTCCCAATAATGTCCCATATGACAAAAGGATCCAATCGAAGACCAGCATTTAGTTCTCACAGTTCCTCAGTCTTTCCTTGATTTTCATGAATTCCAGTTTTGAAGACTACAGGCCAATTGTGTAGAAAGTCTCTTGATTTGGATTTGTCTAATGTCTTCTTATGATTAGATTCAGGTTCTGCATTTTTGGCAGGAATAGCAAGAAGTGACACTATATTCTTCATATTACATTTTATTAGGTGTTGCATAAGCTCCATTTGTCCCATTTTTGTGATGTTAACTTTGATCACTGTTTAGCATGATGTCTGGCAGATTTCTCCACTGTTGAGTTACTTTTTTTCTCTTTGTAATTAATAAATATATTGTGGGAAGGTACTTTGAGAGTATGTAAATGTCCTGTTCCTCATCAAACTTTTACCAATTAGTTTTTGCACTCATTGATGTTTTTTGGCTGAATTATTTATTCCTGAAATTGTTGTCAAATAGTGATTTTCTAGTTCATTCATCCCCTCTACATTCATACTATAAGGAAAACCTTTCTCACTTCCCCATTTATGAATGTATGTACACTAATACAAATAAATGATATATGCACATTTATATGGACTCATGACTTTTAATTTGGTCAGTAAGTTATATCCTGTTACCATCATCATTATTTATTATTACTATTATTATTATTATTACTATAACTAGAGGCCCGGTGCACAAAAATTTGTGCACTTGGGGGGGGGTCCCCTCAGCCCGGCTTGTGCCCTCTCGCAGTCTGGGACCACCCGGGGGATGACCACCTGCCCGCTCCCCGGGGGATTGGGCCTAAGCTGGCAATCAGACATCCCTCTGGCAGCCCGGCAGCCCTCGGGGGATGTCCACTTGCCAGCGGGGAGCAGGCCTAAACTGCAGTCGGACATCCTTAGTGCTGCTGAGGAGGCGGGAGAGGCTCCCACCAACACCGCTGTACTGGCAGCCGTCAGCCTGGCTTGTGGCTGAGCAGAGTTCCCCCTGTGGGAGTGCACTAATCACCAGGAGGCAGCTCCTGCATTGAGCATCTGCCCCCTGGTGGTCAGTGTGTGTCATAGTGACCAGTCATTCCCAGTCATTCTGATGTTAGGGTCAGTTTGCATATTACCCTTTTATTATATAGGATAGATGCCTGCTGCATGGGTGGGGGCCAGCTGATTTGCCCTGAAGGGTGTCCCGGATCAGGGTCAGGTTCCCGCTGGGGTGCCTGGGCAGCCTGGGTGAGGGGCTGATGGCTGTTTTCAGGCTGGTCAAGCCCCCCCATTGGAGACCCTCACCCCATGGAGGTTTGGCCAGCCTGCATGAGGGGCTGATGGCTGTTTATAGGCTGGCCACACCCCCTTTAGGTAGAGGGTCCCCACTGGGTTGTCTGGCCAGTCTGGGTGAGGGGCTGAGGGCCGTTTTCAGGGTGGCCAAGCCCCCCAACGATGGGAACTCCCAGCCTCTCCTTTTTTTCTTTTCTTTTTTTATTGTGGGATTTATTTACCTTCTATAATTGAGATTTTGTTGCCTTCAGTGGAGCTCAGAGCTGGCCGTGGCAGGCGGGAAGCTTGGCCTCCTCCATAACTGGAGCAACCAAGCCTCCTGCTCACTCCAGCTCCGTGGCTGCCGGCCGCCATCTTGGTTGGGTTAATTTGCATATAGTCGCTCTGATTGGCTGGTGGGCATGGCTTAAGGTGTAGCGAAGGTGTGGTCAATTTGCATGTTTGTCTTTTATTAGATTAGATATTTTTCTTTCCCATTGACCTTGGCTAGTTTGATACAATTTGACAGTGATGGAATTAAGCTAGCTTTCTGGTTAGCTTATGTATTCTTTTGACATGTCTTCATTATTCTTTGAGCACTTTTTAACTTTATAGTACAACCAGGCATTCCAGGCTCATCATGTACTTTCTCTGTGCTACTCCTGGTATCAGCTATTTCTCAAAGGATCTCTGTTCTTTTAATGGTATTTAGAAATGAAGATATAGCAGCTTCTCGGAATGTCAGTGCTTCCAGGCCCGAAACCAGCTCTCCATTGATCAAAGATAGGGAATGTATATTTGCATGAATGTATGTACATTCATACAAATAA